GTCAGGATGAAAAGAATATTTTATGACCAGTGAGATTCCCTTTTTCACTTTGGCTGCCAGGAAACTCCACTACATTCATTGTCCAGCTTTAGGAGTGGGTTTCTTTGATTCCACTGGCCTGAAGTTGCCCTAGATCCACGTTGACTGGATATAAATCTATGATGGAACAGCTGCCCAAACACACTGACATCTAAAAGGACAATGGTGACACTTCTTATTTGGTATGTATTCATTCATTGGAACGACTGTTGCCTCATAGCCCCAAGTGGCCCCAAATTTCTTCCTGGTTCCAAGGCAGTGTCAGTTATCACCCAGCCAGAAAGTGCTGAGCGGAGTTATCTGTCAGGAGCCGTAGGGCTGACAGCTCCGCCGCCGGCAGAGGCAGATGAAAGCCCTTGTTGTGGTCTTGCTGTGGGAGAGGTTCTGAGCAACAGGAAGCCGGTTTTCACGAGGCTCAGCCGGTGGCTGCGGTCTGGCTGGGGTGCAATCTGGCTGGGGCTCCGCTTCACCCCAGCTGCCCTCGGCCAGCACACGGGGTCTTTCTGTGACTTGTGACTGCGGGGGGGGGGGGCCTTGGGGACCAGATGCCAAGGAGCCGCAGGAGGAGCCTGTGCGTTGTGAGGCTGATCATCTGTGGCAGGAAGGCTGGGGGGTGTGGAATTAGTTCCTGCCCCCCGTCATAGTGATGCTGAGAGCCTGCCAGGGCGCTGACGGCTCATGGGGACGGGGAGAGGGTGCTGCAGGACCTCGAGAGTTTACAGTTCATCCACCGGGTCCTGCGGTCTCTCCACAGGATGACAGAGCAAGCTGTGTGCTGAAGGGCATCTCTTCCTCCCCATCTCCTCTCCAACAGCTGTTTCCATGTGGCACAGTTTTCCTGGAAACTGTTCATTATTTTGTCACTTAATAGCTGACCAGATACAGATAAACAGCAATCTACTAATTGAGCCAAGGTCACCCATCTCAAGATAGCCCCAGAGACCAGAAGTCTAAGCCAGGGGTCTGTCTCCCCAGGTCCCTGCAGCCAAACCAAGGCGGCCTGTCGACCTTCCGTTAGGTCCCTTTGAAATAAAACACTCTTCAAAGGACTGGAGAAAACCCTCTCCAGTAAGGTCACCTGCATGTTTGTAGATGTCATAAGAGGGTGACAGACAGACATTCAGATTTCTCTCAACATTGAAATGGTTAAAAAAAAAAAAGTTTGCTGGTTGACCAGAGGAGAAGGGAATCCACACAAATGAAGATGAATTTTGTTGGCGTGGTGGGACCAAGAGCTTTTTCTCCCCACCTTCTATTTCCGAATATTTCTCTCCCAATACATTTACGATAAAGGGATGTGAGAACTAAGTAGTCTCCACAAACTTGACTGAGTGCTGGAGAGAACCCATCTCGCAGATCCATGTGAAGTCTACATCAGGTGGCAGAGAAGGGGTTTATCAGGCATGGCCCTGGCCTGCCTTCTGGGCCAGAGGTTCCCGAACTTCCCAGCACGTTAGCATCTCAGTCATTTTTTCCTGCCCACCCCTTGCCCCCGGCCAGGCTAAAACAAAAACTGAATAGTCTCAATGACTTAACAGGTATTTATGTCCTGACAACATCCTAGCTGTTTGTATCAGTTTCCTATGGCTGCTGTAACAGATTCCCACAAACCCAGTGGCTTACAATGAATATTTATTCTCTTCCAGCTCTGGAGGTAAGTAGATCAAAATCAGCCAGACAGGCTAATGTCAGGGTTTCGGCAGGGCTGGTCCCTTGTGGAGGACCCAGTGGAGAATCTTCCTCCCTGGCCCTTTCCAGCTTCTAGATGTGCCTGCATCCCTTGGCTGTAGCCCCTCCCTCCTCTTCAAAGCTGGCATCATAGCATCGACCCATCACCTTCTCTGACTCTGACCCCCCTGCCTCTCTCTCCCGAGGATCCTTGCGATTATGTTGGGCCCACCTGGATATTCCTGGACCAGGCCCCCATCTCAAGGCCCCGAGCTCAGTTGTATCTGCAGATTCCCTTTTTCCTGTAATGTATGCAAAGGTTCTCGGAATTAGGAAGTGGACATCTTTGGGGGACCACTATTCAGCATATCACACCACTTGAAAACATACTTTTATTTCATTCTTAAATAACCGTGATTACTTACTAATGGGACCTCTGCACCTTTTGTGTTCAGTACACCTTCTTGTCCTGGGAATCAGACTGGACTCAGCCACTCTCCTTTCCCGCTCCACGTTGATTTAAAAAAATTTTTTTTTGTTTTGTCTTGGGGGAGATAATTAGGTTTATTTATTTATTTTGATGGAAGTACTGAGGATTGAACCGAGGACCTTGTGCATGCTAGGAGCAAGCTCTACCACTAAGCTATGCCCTCTCCCCCATGTTGATTTTTGTGCAGTACTTGATCTCTGTTGTGGTAAACTGCTGGAAATACAGCCTCAGAAACAGGTGAGGTCATCAAAAGGTCTGTAGGCAGACCTTGTTTTACCGCACCTCACAGGTACTGTGTTTTTCACAAGTTGCAGGTTTGTGGCAAGCCTGCACCAAGCTGGTCTGTTGGTGCTGTTCTTCCAACACCATTTGCTTGCTTCATGTCTCTGGGCCACATTTGGTAAATCTCATGATATTTCAAACTTTTTCATTATTATCTTATTTGTTATGATGATCTGTGGTCACCGATCTTTGATGTCACTATTGTAGAAAGATTATGACTTGGTGAAACCTCAGATGATGGTTAGCATTTTTTAGCAATAAAGAATTTAAAGTATGAACATTGTTTTTTTAGATAATGCTGTTGCACACTTACTAGACTACAGTATAGTGTAAACATAACTTACATGCACCAGAAGACCAGAAGATCTGTGTGACTCGCTTTGTTGCCATATTTATTTGATTGCAGTGGCCTTGAACTAAACCTGCAGTATCTCCGAGGTCCATATTCCTGTATAGCACGACCTAATGGTGAAACTGTGAAATACTTGGAGCTAGTAGTTCGCTCTGTGTCTGGAAGGTGCCAAATATTGCTGTGTTTCCTTTGAAAAACTGAAATACCCCACAGCACCCCCTGTGAGTTTGCTCAGGAGTCTGGGGTGCCCTGGCACCAGTTTGGGAACCACAACTTTAGGCTAAAAGCATCCTCACTCAGCTCCTTGGGCTGTGCCTCATGTGGTGAGGACTGGCGGTTCCCCCTTAGCCAGGCTGCCTCCTCTAGTTGTGGGGAGCAGCCAGCTAAGACCACCAGCTAAGAAGATGCTGTCAGACCCAGAAGTCTGCTCCTGGCTGAGCCCTGGCCCCATTCCCGGCCGGTCACACCGACCCTTCCCTTCCGTCGCAGGTCGAGCAGAGGGGGTCAGGCTCTTCAGAACAGCCTGTGGCCACTGCCACTGAGAAGAAGAGACTTAACTTTTCTTGGGTTCTTCGGGCATATTTTCTGAAAGACAATTACTGAAAAGCCATAGAGGGCGTTAAATTGACTAATAACTATGTTAGTCACAGAAGGTTGCATGAATGAAACAGGTGTCACATCAAGGGAGTGAACTGCCCTTCGAGGGTTAAATCCCAGAGTTCACATGGGTCCGATGACAGCTGGGGGACAGTCATTAATACTCTTGCTTCCCTCTGGAGACCCTCACCTTCTCTGTTTGGAAGTACCTTTGCATGGGGTCAGGTGGGGTTGAAAGTCTTATGAACTGGAGTCTCAGGATGGAGGGTATTTTCCTACAGTAATCCACACCTGGATTACAGGGGTCTGTGCATCTTTGTCACTGACCCTCTACCACATTTCGGCACAGCACGGTAGATTTTCTGTAGGGATGTTGACTCTCAGCTTTACAAGAGGCCCTGCAGAGGATGTTCAAGTTGTGGTTGGAGAGAGGTCACGTGTAGCAGATGCTCAGGCAGCTGGTGTGAGGGACCCTGTGGTCCTGCTCCGCACCCCCGCGGGGTACCCTCCCCGGCACACGCCTCCCTCCCCCAGGCCAGACTTCTCTCTTAAAGTAGGAGTGAAAACGCAGCACTGCCCCAGCAGCTTGACAGAGTGGTAGAGAAGGAAATGTCTTGATGTATTTTTGTGCCTTGGGAAGCACCAACTGCTCTGTTCATATCGCCTCACGTGGCCACAGCAGGCGCCTCGTTCAGCTCATACCACAGTGTGTCATCTCCTTTATCTCGATCATAATCCAGATGATTAGGGACAACGAAAATTCAAATTCACCTTTTCCAAAGACAGGAGACCAGTACAGAGATCAGGTATTCTCCCAGTCTGAGTCTGACTGGAGCTGAAACTCAAGGGAGGAGGCTGGTTTTTCTTTGGGCAAGTCGTCGGCAAAGCTGTCAGACCAGATGCCGTAGTCAGGGCTGGGGAAGGGCACTTCTGGCCTCAGGGGTCCTGGTTCCTCGTGTGCAGGACAAACCTGCACTTTCTCACGCGGTGCTGCCACTTCACCCGAGGGACACAAACGGGTCTGGGTTCTGGATTGGGGGGGTCAGACTATGTTTTGACCTTTCCGTTGCAATGGAGATGCCCCCATAAAACCCCAAAGTGCAAGTGGCCACAGGACAGACTTTGGGAGCGGCGATCTGGCAGTGCCACCTTGGCCTCAATGACGTGCAGGCCTCTGACCCTGAAGCACTGGAAACGGACCCTCAGGAGAGGATCAGAGAGGCTCCCCGTTGACCTGGATTCTGTGCCTCGTTGCTTCCTAGCTGTGTGCAAACCCCCTGCTTCCTCACCCGAGCCTCGATTCTCTGATGCTGCGAGAGGGGCAAGCGGATGGAGAGGACCGGAAGCCGGCATGCCGGGCATGCCGTGCGTGCCTGCGTGCCTGCGTGCCGTGCATGTCTCAGCGCTGTGCATGCCGTGCATACTGTGCATGTCTCAGTGCTGTGCGTGCGTGCCATGTGGGCTGCGCGTGCTGTGTGTGTCATGCGTGTCTGCGTGCCAGGCGTGCCTGTGTGCCATGCGTGCTGGGAGTGCCTGCGTGCCATGCAGCAAGGTCTCTTCTTTTAATGGTAGGAGCAGCACATCTGGTGGCTTGGGGACACTGAAGAAACAGGAGCCGAGATGGATGGCAGAGGGCAGAGTTACAGAACTTTCTAGAGTCTCTCCAGGGGCCTGTCTGATTGCCCAAGGTCAACCTGCTAGAGAAGTGCTCACTCTGGGTGCGCTGGGTGCTGGGGAAATCAGGGTTTGAGCAAAGCCCCTGGAGATGTGGCCCGGCAGCCACAGAAGGTAATGTCCTTCCTACTTCCTGCCGCAGCTGGGGCCGCGTGGGGGTTGGGGGAGGAAGTCAGGAAACCTCCCACCAGATGCGCCCATCTGGCCACCTCCACTGGCCGCCTAGCTCTTGTCCCGTTCTTCTACCTGCTGCCAGGGCTGCCTGCCTGTCACCCTTGGAACCCAGTCCGGGCTCCTAGTGCTGGCCCTGCCTGCCTTGCCAACCTCTTCCCGAGAGCAGTCACTGAACTTTCCAGTCACAGCTGCTGAGGGCCTCTGTGCTGGCTGGGCCTCCACCCAGACTTCTGTCCTCGAGTCTTCTGGGCTGGTCCTCCCTCCATTCGTCTCGGCTCATGTATCTGCCTCCCTGACCCTCAGGCCAAAGAAGCTGCCTCTCAGTGCTGGGAGCTGTCGCCGTGAGACTATCTGTGTAGCACTCAGTGCCCCTGAAGTTCTGGTTAGGGTTTTTATTTTATTAACTGTCCTTTACCCTCCCACTGTCCTCCAGCGCGCGCGTGCACACACACGCACGACCAGTTTGCCCCATGCGGTCTTATTCAGGTCTGTATTTCAACTCCTAGTTGGTGCATAGGAGCTGCTTATTAGTAAATAACTTGTATGAATGAGTGGTTAAGAGCTTTGGAAGTTATAGACTGACTTAGAATTTTGTCTAATTGTGTTGGTAGAAACTTCTGCCATAGGGCCCAGGAGGTGAATTGTAGAGATGTGGTCGCAGGAAGGTCTGTTTTGCAGCAAGTCTGTAGAAGTGCACTTTTAACATCCACTCTCTGTACTTGGAGAGATTCCGCCATGATTTAAAACTTGAGTCTCAGAGTCTGCAGACCTTGCAGTGACTCTGGAGACCTCCTTGTACACAGAGGGACTGGGTGTAATCCACAGAGTTTTTCTTTGTCCTATGATGTGCTTTGAAATAAATTTAAATTAGTTGCCAATGTTGAAGAATTGGATTTCATGTTGTAGATTTCAGTGCCCTTTAGAAAGCTCTTTAGATCGGGACCCACTGGGCCCTTGATCCTGAGTGGCAGCAGTGTGGTCAGTCCCCACTGGGCCCACTTCCTCTGTGTTCTCCAGCTGCTAGAACACAGGTGGTCATGTGAGGTGTGTGATCCTGGTGTGCTGAGAGCGACCGTCACCTTGTCCAGTATAGAAGCCTGTAATTACGTTTCCTTCCTGGAGGAAAAGGCTGGGATCACTTCCAAGGCCCTTAGCACAAGTGGCCACTTCACGCTGGCATCTTGGCTCCACAATTGGGCTTGGCTATGCCACCTTTCTCCTGAGAGGGGAGGTCCCTGGGCTGAGAGGCCCGCATGCCCAGGACTGGGCCCTCCTGCCATTTCTACTTCCTCTCCTGCAGTGCGAGGCCTGTCGCTCTGTCCCCCTCCTCCCTGAGCCCACAGAGGAGGCTTCTGGGAAAGGATGACTCATGCACGCCCCAAATTTCTGAGCTGGAAAGGCGCTGGGAGAGCTTCCCGCCAGCCTCTGAGAGCGCCTCAGGCCGAACCAGAAATAGCCATGATGGTTCGCTCTGATCTGGAATCTCCTGTGTTGTTGGGTTCTGCTCTGGTAAATAGATGCAGCCCTCAGACCAGCCACCTGAAATGTTTCCAGATACAGTGACTCGTTTCCTCTTCCTCTAGATTTTTATTTACTGCAAACTACATTGTTGTGATAAAGGATAAAACAGAAAGAGGAAATTCTCTCAGTGCCAGCACTGTAGTACATTTCTGTCTTCTTTCAGGCCTTTTTCATACGTACACATAACTGTAATTACAGTAAAATTAAAATTCATTCACTTCAGTGTTTCCGGCACCCGGAACAGAGGGGGACTTGCAGTAGAATGATTCAGTAAATATCTGTCGATTGTAGAATATTTGTTTACTTAACTATAAAGTGAACATTTTTCTAATTGCATCATACGCTGATTACTCTTACATCAAATTGTTAGAATCTGTTTGCCACTTTACTATATTTAGATTTTTTCCCCCAATTTATCAAGATTGTCAATACTGTTGCAGTGAGCATCTCTCTCCATATAACTGTTTTTGAGTGTTTTGAATTTTCTTAGGATAAATTCCAAGCATTTGAATTCCTAGGTCAGAGGAGAGAAAAATAGGAATTATAGAAATTAATTTCTAAATTCTTATTTATCCTTCTTGCTGGGATTATTTGAGAATATTAGCTTTACCATAATCTCACCTACACATAGGTTATAGTGTTCAAGTTTTTGCTTATTGCATAGTGTAAGCTGGTACTTAATTGTTTTAACTTGCATGTCTCTGTGTGTGGTTATTAGTGTGGATTGAAGAATTGCCTAGGCACTTAATAATATTTCCTCTTGTCTGTGTTGCCTATTTGAGTAGTTTGAATATCTATTAGAATATAGTTTTTTTTAGTTGAATTTGGGCGAATTTACCATATAGACATGGTTAACTCAATTTTCCTATCGTAGTGACTATGAACATTTTCCTGGTGTGTGATTTTTCCATTGTTAATATCAGGTGAGTCATTATAGGTGTGATTTTCTGTTCTTTAGAGAGCCTGAGCGCGTGTTTGCCAGAAGGACCTTAGAGAGCCAACCTGACCTCAGTGTCTCAGACGGGGTCCCCAGCCCAGAGCACAGAGGCCACAGCCCACCACCCCTGCTGGCAAGAGGGGAGCCAGGACTGGCCCCAACCACGACCCCTTCATCTCAAGCTCTCTGAGCATCTGAGCTCCTGCACGCCCCAGTTGCTTTCCTGGCCCAGAAAGTTCTTTTGAGCTGAGGTTAATGCTTCTCTGGTTTGGACCAAGCCAGGCTTCATAGGACTGTCTCTCCTGAAGATGGGCTGTTGCCACTCCAAATGATGCGGAGCCAGCTGTTGAATCTTTCTGACTCAGGGCATTTAAAAATATCCCAGGCTGGGGAATTTGGAGGAGCCCATAATCGATTCATGAACATTAAGCTCTTAGGAGGCAGTAAATGCAGTTCTGATACTGAATCACCATCAGAAGATGCGCTAGTTCCACAGTATCAGCGACTACCTGCCCACCAAGTGTTGTCCTAGATATCTGAGGTCTGTGGAGGTGGAGGAGAGGGACGTGGCCCGGGATCAAGATGTGCCCCTGCCTAGAGGAGCTGATGCATCCTGCTTAGCTGTGTGCCCCTCGTCACTGGGGAGGGAGCCCTAGATCTGGCAGGTCACCCCTAAACTGACCAGGAGACCTGGTTTAGAAGGGAAGAGCCTAATCCAGCTCTGCCTACATCGTCAGTGTCCTAGACTCTTAGAGCAAATTCACGGTCAAAGTGGTCGTCCCTCAGCAGTAACACCGTAGACACTTAGGCTCTGTGCTGGGCGCTGAGGTCGCTACAGAGGGGGCTACAGTGTGGTCCACTCCTCAGGGGATTACACTTCACTGGGATGAACAGAAATGCTAACATCTACCCATCACACAAGCAGACTTAGAAATGTGTATAAACAAAATGCTACTGGGGCCACAGAAGAATCAGTAAATGGTCTGCATAGCACGGAGCGAAGCTTCTCAGAAGAGCTGGTGCTAAGCTAAGCCTTGAGGGGTGAGCAGAACTCCAAGTGGGGCTGAGAGAGGAAGACTGGGGAGAAGGGAGAGGACTGCCCTGCCTTCAGAGCAGAGAAATGGGGTGCCGTCACGCAGGGTGGCCATGGTGTGGGGAGAGGGCAGGGAGGAGAAAGTGGGTCCAACCACAGATGTCACTTAGAAACCATTGGCCATCAGGGGTTGGAGGGAGTGATGAGAGGGGACACATACTGGATAGCCGGGAAGGTTCTGGGTCTTGAGTGGGAGAAGGCTAAGAAAGGAACCAGGAAGGAAGAGACGTGAGCCACGTGCCTGACAACACAGTCTTCCAGGCCTGCTGATCTCAGTGACAGCGGGTGGCAGGTGGCCGTCCTGGTGATTTTCTGTTTCCAGTAGCGTCAGTCTTTAGGCCAGAGTGGGAAGAGGGCCTTCGGATGCAGCCCCCTTAAAGTCTGTTTGCTTAGTTTGGAGAAATCCTCGTTGATGGTGTTTGTTCATTTATTCGACAAATATTTACTGGCTGCCCACGACATAGGGGGTATTTAGCAGTCAGGTAGACACAGGAGGACCGTGTCGGCATAGATTCTGGAAGTTTGGAGCCTCTTCTCTTTACAGGGGGTTTGTGCCCTACTTCATTCAGCTAAGTCTGGATTTTTGGCGCCAAACTCTCCTTATGTGAGGAGTTGCTCTCATGGTGGGAACGATAATGTGTCTCTGCTTCCATTCCAGAAGCCTTAGGGCCACGTGAGCAGCCCCAGAGGACTCCTCCCCAGTGGCCAGCAGCAACCAAGCAGCTCACACGCGCTCAGCCGCAGGCTCCCTCTGACTCGCCTGGGAACCCCGTCTGCCGGCCTCCCCACCCGCCCGGCGTCCTCGCAGCCTGCCCAGTCGAGCCATGGAGGCCCCCGAGGTCCCTGTGGGCTCACTGATTGACTTTGGGGCTGAGCCATCCTCCTCCTCGCCCCTGGAGGCGCTGCCCCCAAAGCTGCAGGATGGGGACAGCTCCCCGGGTGAGGGCGCATCAGAGAGCGAGACTACGGAGTCTGCAGACAGCGAGAACGACATGGGCGAGTCGCCCTCGCACCCGTCCTGGGGCCAGTACCGCCGCTCCTCCTCCAACGAGTCCTTCTCCTCCAACCAGAGCGCTGACTCGGCCAAGGACGAGGAGCCGCTGGAGCTCCGGGAGTTCATGCGCAGCTACGTGGAGAAGATCTTCTCCGGAGGGTAAGCCTGGCTGTGGTCCCCCTGCTGCCCTCACGGGGCGCCACCCGCCTGGCGCCACCTCTCACCAGCCTGCAGCGGCCACCTCGTGATCTCGGTCCCCCCTCTGCCCATGGACCCCCCTGGGGAGTTTCCCCAACTCCTGCCCTCCACTCACCAGCACTCTGACCTTGTCAGCACTAAATCCAGGCCACTGGCTTTGCTCCCATAGCACCCAAGCCCCCATCAGGTCCAATCTACTAGGTGATAGTGAATTAGGACCGTGTTAGGCAAGGAGGTTTCAGTTACCCACACTGCTTGGGATGCTCACGGGCAACTGAGCCTTAAGCAGGACAGGGACCACCTCCCCTTGCACCTCTTTCTGGCCTCTCTTTGGTAGTTCTTGATGGGGTGAATAAGAAGCAGTGAAAATTGTAGCAGGAAGTGGAGGATGGAGTCGAAACGTGGACCGAGGAGCCAGGAGTCTGTCTCACCGCTGTTAAGGTCTCCGCAGTGGACGGGAAACCTGCGACCACAGATGCAGTCCACGGCCTCAGGTCTTGACAGCTGGTCCTGTGTCACTCACAGCAGCAGGTTAAGTGCTGGTCAGGTCATCTCTGCCACTGGCAGCTTCAGCATCAGGGGAAGCTCGTTAGAAATGCAGAGTCCTAGGCCCCGCCGGAAACACTGAGTCAGAATCTGCATCTTAACGAGGCCCCTGGGTGTGCACAGACTGCATTCTGCCTGAGAGGACACTTCCATTTTCATTAAAGTGTGAAGAGAATTTCTGCCAGTTGACACCATACAAGGAGTATGTTGTTTCTACCATGGCTTAGGTCCCTCGTTTGCTAAGTGGCAGGGCTGATTTCCACCTTTTTCAGGTGCACCTCAGTTTTCTATGTGGTTAGGGAGGGGAGGAGTCCTAGGACCCAAATAGCTGGCTATCCCCAAAATGCTTTCACGTTTGGTTCTGTGCACTCTGGGAGAGCAGTAGATGTGGCTTCCTACTTGTTTTGTTTGACAAGCACTGAAATTAGCTTTCTCTGAGCACACCCAGTTAATAAAAAGGGGAGAAAGCCCAGAAGCTCGCTAATTTGCCAGGGAGGCCAGTCTGCATTTGTGGCAGCCAGTTGACGATATGGATCACGGACAGCCGAGTTGGAAGCATTTTCAAGAGCTTTCCAGAAATCCCTGCAAACGGCTGGCAAATTCTCACATTTCATCTGGTGTTGGTATTTTGGGATAAATGAGACCAAGATGTTTTCTGCAAAACCTTAAATAAATGAAATTGCACAAGCCAATTAATCTTCAGCCTTCTGCTTCCCCTTTTCTGCCGTTAAATCTGGGGTAGAGTATTGGCTCCCTTGGGAAGGTGATCGGAAGTGGTTTGAGATCAGGTGAGCATTTTGTCCACCCTGGCAGTGGTGACCCCCAGATCTGGGGCCCCCCGTACGTCTTCACCCCACCACACACACACACAGCTGGGGATCATCAGGGAGGTGGGCAGACTGGCTCTTCAGAAGGGCAGAGGAAGACGCAACCATGCCCTCCTTCTGATGGGTGGAGGTGGCATCAGACCCCTCAGTGTTCCTTTGCCTCACTGGGTCCTGCTGAGACTGAGCAAATGAGGAATTCTTGAATCCAGTGGGTGGCTCCTTGCCAACCTCAGCAGCAAAGATTAGCAGGAAGTTGGATGAGCTGGAGAACCAAGCCTTTGGAGGGTCGTGGAACCCTTGTTAGTGCCCGGACCTCACTGGGGCAGAAGGACGGACGTGTGGGGAGGGGAAAGCATGTGGGCCTTGGAGCTGGGAAGTCTGGCTGGAGCTCCGGTTCTCCACTCCCGGGCTGTGTCTGATCCTCCTAGCCAGTCTCCTTACCTTTGAAACAGAGATAATACCATTTCCTCACAGTCTGCCCGGAGGGTGAGATGAGCTGCTATAAGTCAGGTGTCTGTACCTGGCGGAGGTGCAGGACCATTGGGGTTCAGCGGCCAAGATGTGTCCATCCCTGGGTCCTGCACCCGCGGACACCGACCCACTGCACTCAGGAGTTCCTCTCCTTCCTCTTCCCCGACTCTGAGCTTTCTGGTTCCAGAGGATTGAAGGTTTCTGCTTTTCCCCTCTGCCCCCTCTCTCAGGGAGGACTTGGACCAGGAGGAGAAGGCCCGGTTTGGAGAGTACTGCAGCAGTGAGGACGGGAAAGGCCGGGAATGGTTCGCCCGGTATGTGAGTGCCCAGGTGAGGAAGGCGGGGCTGCGGGGGCTGGCTGTGTGGCCGTTCACCTGCCCTGGGGAGCGAGTCAGGGAAATGCCCCTAGAGAGGTTCCAGAAAGGCCTGTTTAGAATAGTGGACAGTGCCTCCCGGAAGGGAAGGTGTCTGTCCTCCACATGGAACTCTAGGAAAGTTCGTCTTGTTCGAGACAAGCCCATGGGCTCTGTCCATGGATATTTTTATTAAATAACTCACAATGTTCAGTTTTCATAAAGGTAGAACGTTCAAGACGATGACAGCCAAGTAAGTTCAGATAAGAACCAAGTTTTGTAAATAGCCAGCAGGTTCTTTTTCTTTGTTTTCTGTCAAGTGTATAAAATTCTTGGTTTTTAAAGTATTTTTGTCACAAATAATTAATTCTTCAGAGAAAAATTAGAAAATGTAGATAAGCAAAATTAGAGGAAGTGTCCAGAAACCTACAGTCTAGGAGATAGCCGGCATTGTCACCTTGGGGTCCTGTCCCCCAACACTTTCCCGTGTGGGGGTGAGCGTGTGACGTGGTTGATTTTTAAGATCTCCTAAGGAGACACAGGAAGCACCTGCTTGCGCTCCACTGAGTGATGCTCGTGTGCAGGGGGCCAGCCCTCTGCTCGGTCCTGGGTTCTGTGGAGTGGGGCCGTCCTGGGCTTGCGTCCCGGCTGCGCCCAGCGATGCTCGGCGGGGCCCGCCCGCCGGCCGCCTATGACATGCCTGCCCTCTCCCCGGACAGCGCTGCAACGCCAGATGCGTCTCGGAGCCGGCTTTCTACCGCCTGGTGCAGTCCTTTGCGGTGGTCCTGTTCGAGTAAGTGACGCCGTCGCACAGCCTCTGTCTTCACAGCTGGCCCTCCCTCCCTTCCCGCCTG